CAGGTGGAGGACGGGGCACCAATTGCAGAAGACTTGCGAGAAGTGACGTCTTTGGAAGACGCCCATGTCGAAGCATATATGGAGCCGTGATCGATCCTGCGTCTCAGACATTACGGATCCGTCCTGGCAAAGCAACAACCACACCTCCAGCCACGCCCGAAGATCTCCGTTTGCGCCATCGCAGATTGGGCCTACCGTGGGATTTTGTACGATCCCGCCACTCGACCACGACATGAAAGTCTTCCGTGGACACGTTTCGGCTGCTATCTGACCACGTCCTTGGCTCCCACGTGGCTGGCGTGAAGACAGCAGACGGTTGCGTACCCACTTGGTTTCAGGTACTTACCTACGAGCTTGAGTTGCGCAAGACGTCCTACCGTTTTGTTCGTGATGGAAAATGTGCTTGCCTCAATGCTGCAATTGAAAAAGTCATCGATTCGTCCGACTTGCTGAACTTGCATTTCATCATTCCCATCACTCTTGGCAAAAGGCAGGGTTGTTCAGCACAAGATGGACTTGATGTTCTTCCACCACCAGCCCCTCACTCTGTGGGCCGAGACGTCAAGGGTGCTGGCAAGGGCAAGAGCACACAGTCGTGGGAGCGTCAGTGGGGCAAGCCTGCCCGAACCCCTGAAGGAAAATGCATTTGTTTCAAGTACAACAAGCACGGTGGTTGCCCTGCCGGCAAGAGCTGCCGATTTCAGCATGTGTGTCAGCGCTGCTACCACAGGCACCCCTTCTATGAGTGCCGCTACAAGCATGATGCCAAGCAGGGCGACAAGCATGACGAGTGACTATCTGCTCATCAGTCTGGCTAGGCGTCGCCTGTGGTGGGGTCTCGTCCCCGCGCCTGGCCAGTTTCGCAACTGCAAAAAAGCGTGTTAGGGATGATAGAAGTGCGCTTCCTGCTGCGCATGAACAGCGTGAAGGCGTTGTTAAAGGTGCGGCGCCTGTGGGGACAGAGCCTGCAGAAGATTGGCGCTGGGAGCGAACTGGCGAGACGGCGAGAGAATGTGGGAGCAGTGCGACGTTGAGACACAGTTGAAGTAAGCCCCGATGAGGACGAGGATGGTCGCGACAAGCCTCAGCTGGGAGCCGGCCATTGGGGCCGGGGCCCACCGTTGACAGCGCAGTTGTTTGGAAAGAAAGCTTTCCGCGATGGATTTGGCTTATGCTCCCCAGGGCGGTGGCGCCCAAGCCAAAGACGTTGTGCAGATGACACACCGTCTCTGGGGTTTGCCCAGAGGCTGGGTGACGAGCTGCTGAATATGCCGGCTCGGCGCATCGACCTTTCAGATTTGGCTTCAAAGCTCACGCAGGCCAAGATCGTGGAAAATCCGTTTCCTGCAGACCTTATCGCAGAAGGGCGTGAGCTCCTCTTCACAGCTCTGGAGTATGCAGTGGCAAAACAGCCCATGCGGGTGGTGTGTATGCGCTTGAGGATTGCCCACATGTAGGATACTGAGATTGGCCCACGTTGGCGCGCTTGTACATGCAGCGTTCCAGAATCTAACAGAGTCTTGTTGCAGCTGTGTGGCTTTGCACAGTGATCAGTACCGGGGTAGTCCGGTGGCGCAACTTGCGGGAGCCGCCCAAATTTTTGATCT